CATAATCTCCCATAATAACTCTCTGCTTTCTATTACATAAGCAAGCTTGAAACTAATGAAATGCTTAGCCACGAACACCATAAGCTTCAAGTTTTAAGATAAGCCTTTGATGTGGTACATAATCAAATGCTTTTTTAAAGTCAAGTAAAAATACATCCACAGGATTCCTTGATCAACATTTTTTGCAATGAAATCTAAAGTTTTAAGCAAATTTTTAAGATTTGTTAGAAAAAATCTTTTTCTAACAAATCCATGTTGTTGATTAGCTATAATATTATTTTCATGAAGATATTTTTCCAACTTATTTTCAATTATGCCTTGTAGTACTTTAAAAGTAACACAAGGAAGGGATATAGGTCTATAATTTTTAGAATCAGCCATATCACCTTTTTTTATATAGTGCAGTTACGTTTGCTGAATTGATTTGATTTGGAAGTTGACTTTTTTCTAATGACTCCATAAAAATTAGTTTAAGAGGAAGAACGAAAGCACTAGCACAGTTTTTAAAAATAAATAGATGTAACTTGTTGACTCTGTAGACTTTGTTTTGATCAAGATAATTTAGCCTTTTAAGAACATCTTAATATTGGATATCTTTAGGAGTTAAATTTACGGTGGTATCATTCTTGTTTTAAATAATGGAGTGCACTTTTTATTTTATTTGACAAAAACGTTTTAAAAGTTGATATTTAGAAGATCAGAAATCTTTTCTAGACCCTAGGTTGCTTCACCGTTTAGTTAATGCAGAGCTTTTATATAGTCTTTTACAAATTGTGGTGAACTCATTTTTTTTCCACAATCATTGATTCGTTATTTCGTCCTGCAATGAAAACTTCAAATGGCACTTTTTTTGATAATGGTTTATATTGGTTTCTTAAAATCTGTTTTTTTATAATGAGTGAGATGAGTTCTTTGTTCAAGAATAGTTTCTTTGATGATGAACTTGAGGTATTTATAGAAACATATATGTTACACGCTTCTTCAGTAAAATAAATTAACACATCATACATTTCCTGAACATTCTTGGAATAATGCTAATTGATACTTGTAAGGAAATCACTAATGGTATTGTAATCTGCTTTTCTATATAAAAATTTTTTTTCCTCTTTATTTTTATTCATTGTTTTTTTTTTAAGAATAAAATCAAAACACAATATTAAATGGCCCTTTGATATGTTTCCTAAAACAAGTTTACTTTCAATGGCACTCATATTTGCTAACAGAATAGTGAATATTAAATCTAAAATATTAACAGCAGTTTTATTTGTTGTTTGAAATGTTGGTATGTTGACATGCTGATGTAAGTAATTGTCATTTTTTGTTTTATAAAAAACATTTTCTCAATTTATGACAATTCTTTAATCGAATTTATTGAACTATTGGACCAACACATCCCAGGAAAGTTAAAATCACCAACTATGATTAGGTCTTTAGTACCTTTTCTGTCAACATATTCTTTAGCAATTTTAAATAAATTCTAAGTATCATCATATCTGTGAAGTCATAAGGTCTATAAATAAATCCAATAAAATATTTATTATTACTGAACTGGATGACAGCCCAGACATGCTCAGTTTGACTCAATGTAAATCTTTTGTCGTTAAGTTCATATGAAATAATTTCGCTGTCAATATAAATACATACACCTCCTCCTCGACGACCGTCGGATTTATCTTTTTTATATAAATAATAAACATCCAATTTGCAAAGAGAAGTAGGTTTAAACCATGCTTTAGTAATCTTAATTAATTAAGGATTGTAAGTTGTAACTACTAGTTTAAATTCGTCAAATTTGTTGCCAATAGATGTGACATTAGATACATGCAATTTAGTTTTTCAGTGCTACTCATAGATAATATACAATTAGCCTTACTGCCGATTGGTTACTTTTTAAGTTTTTGTATTTACACTCCATAAATAATGATATTTTTAGCTCTCTTTTTACGTTTATTTAACTCGTTTATGCTAGAATTTGCTACTATATGTTGATTGTTTGGTTTTTTAGTTAGTTGTCCTGACTTTTGAACCTAAATCCAATCATTTGTGCTTGATTGCTTGACTAAAGAGCTTGTTTGTGCAATGTCATTTTTCAACTGATTTATTACTTCTGATCAATGCTATTTATTACTCAATTCATTAAAATCCGACTCAGTCACAGAAAGATATAGCTACGAAGTTTAAATGCAAAAGTATTCAAAAAAGAAAATCTGAATAAACATTACAAGAACAAAAAACGAAAAAGTCGCTTGATGGAGAAACCAAACCCATTGGATGAGCTAAAAATTTGCTTAAATTATTTGCGAAAAAAAGTTTATGCATTTTAGAAGACAATAAAATTTACTGTAAAAAAGATCACTCGATGCTTCCAGGTAATCAATACTATTATCAGTGCAAACGTTATAAAGCTTCTGACAAACTTAAATAAATTTGAGTAAAAAAATCACTTTCGAATTCCTTGTATGGCAGGCAATTTGCACCTTTAATCGAAATCATTCTTTGACACCAAATCCAGCTGAAGGAAAGCTTGAAAAAAACAACTCTATTTAAAAAGCAAAAATAAACGAATTCTTCCTCTAAATTAAAAGCACAAATAATCAACCTTATTTTGGCAAGATCTGGCTTTGATCCACTATTCCAAAAAAATTGTTTAGTGGTATAAGAAAAAAAGAGTCAATTTTGTTCCAAAAGATGCTAATTGACCAAACTGTCCTGAGAAGTGAGTTATAAAATCTTACTATGCAATTGAGATAATACTATTGACGAAAACAGGCAAATGTGAAAATAGCGTTTAAAATTTTCAAGATTTATGGATTAATGCTACAAAAAAGTGGTGCAAATTAAAATTTTGAAGATGATGGAGGGTATTTTACAAAAAATTAAATTACTTGCAAGTCCTAAAGTTAAGGCTATATTATTTTTTATTGAAATAAAAAGTAATTATGTACACCTCATTATGAAAAAAAAATTATAACGATTGGATAAGTTGTTTTTGATATTTGATAAAAATTAATTTAAAGTTATCCAAATTTTAACCAATCATAGTGATATTAAATATTGAAATTTACTTCCAACAAGATTGCAAGCAAGCACTATTAAGTTGTAAAAAAGAAAAAATGAAGATGGGTAAGAGTTAAATGGTTTTTTGATGTTTAAGGAAAAAAAAACTGGATTAATAAAAATTTTTATCGCATGAAGGGACATATACTGTAAAAGGATGCAACTTGTCGAATAAAAATCCGAGCAAGAATGAGTTTTGGTTGATCGTTATAGAGATGATAGTTTGCTCGTTTGAGCATTAACCATGTATATTTGTATAAAAAAAAAGAAATGCAACTTTACAACAATGGGAGAGGTGCTCAAACATGGCCTATAAAGCATGTTGAATTATATTTACAATTTGCTTTTAGACTTTGTCTGAAAGTGAAAGGATTGTTATTGTCATTATAAGAATGCCAAGAATATTGCAATATTTTTTTGCAAAAAATAAATGAGTTTAGGTGTCTAACAAAAATTGTGCATTTTCAGTCCAGAATTTAAATCCATAAGCTACTGCAAGCCTTAGGCTGTTACAGGAGAGAGATCAGATTTAAAAGTAGCTTCTTGTTCTAAGCAATAAAAAAGTGAAGTTTTTTTGTCAAAATAAGAGTATAAAGTTGAGTTTTCAGCAAATAGAACTACCTTTGATTTCATGAAGATTGTTATTGTAGATAATAAATAATACATACACAAAGATAGAAACTTGTGATACCCTTAAAGTTACACGAAATAAAGAAGTGGGTTGGTCTTTAAAAATAGCTTACTTCTTTTTAACATCCTTTTTTTAACTACTGCAGTTAAAAAGAAAGATGTTTGGGTGGAGCTTTATAATGTTGTCTTTTATTATAGGAACTTTGTCTTAAGGATAATCAAAACTTATTCTGATAAATGTAGTGAAGGTTAAGTTTTTTTGAGGTCAAAAATAAGTTGGTTTGTTTAGGCTAACTTGAAATGTTGAGGGATGGCAAACTTTTCTAAAATTGCCTTCTCAAAAAAAAATATTTTGAGTTTCGAACGATAAGACGCTAGAACATTGTTTTACTCTGGTAAATGCATGTTTGGTCTATCGAGAGTTTTTAAGCTAAATGTGTGCTTAAAACATGAACCTATGAGAAGGCATCCAAATAACATGGCTAGAAAATGTTGTTTCATAATTGCCGTGTTGGTCTACAGAAATAGAAATATAAACATTTTTGTCTTTCCAAATTCTTTGCTTTTTGTTTCATTAGAAATTAGAGCAAAAAATCTGATTGTGATATGGTTACAATAAACGCAAGAAAAATTTGTCATAAATTAGATGTCACGTACTTGTTATTTATGTCTACTTGTTGTTTAATGTGGTTCATATCTATTTGATTTTAAGGAAGAATTACTAGGCTTAATTTCAAGGGTAATTCAAAATAAAAAGTAACTAAAATTTTTTCTATGCATTTAAGCGTACTAAATCATTTTATTGAAGCATTAGTTAACTTTTCAGTGCTTAAAGATTTACACTGTTATAAATAACACTATTTTTTTAAGTTTATATTCTTAGTTAATTTAAACTTTATTGTTTATTTGCAATAAACTTATAGGCAAAATTAAAATAACAACAGAGCATTTATATTGTGTCTTGAATATATTCAAAAAATAAGTCACAGTATCATTTGCATATATAATTAATCTAACAGTGGTTCATATATTTGTAAAAATCTTTCAGAAATGGCATTTAAAAAAAAAAAATCTTTATAGAATACCAGTGTTGATAAGGGTTTTATTTGAAAGGATACTATATTAGTCAACAACCTGGCTACATTTAAACAAATGTATTGTGAACCACTCTACTTTTTTATTTCCTATTCTGTAAAGTGGCAGTTTACTTGATAAATATTTGATATTTTGAATTTACATTTACAAACTGAAAAATTAAAAACGTATCTACAATAATTACATTTGTAACAAAAATATACTTTTTATTATTGTAGAAACAACCTGAAACGTGAGAGACAATCAGCAGACAAATGGGAGATTTATCCTAAAACAATAAATATAGAAAAAAAAATTGGAGAGGGAGCTTTTGGTAACGTTTTTGTTGCAAAAATTAATTCAAATATTGTTGCAAAAACTTGTTATGGCAGGCAAACTGGAAGTGTTATGTTTGATACCAAAGATGATTTTTGTATCAATGTTGCTGTTAAATTTTTAAAAGGTTAAAGTGCTTTTTAATTTGTTATTATTTTTGTAAATATAAATGTTTATACAATGTGTGTATATGAATTACTTGTTTAATTGTAGTTTCTACTTTTTAATTTTACTGTTATATATCTATTGTTATACTGAGTCTGATACACTAATTGTTTTTTTAACACAACTACTTTGACTGAGTAATATATAAAAATGAAAAAGAATGATAAATATGTTATATTTTTCATTTTTAATGTTGAAATAACAAGAATTAAAAGGTAGCAGGTTTGATGCAACCAAGATAGCGTTTGTTAGCCTGAAATGATAAATTATGTGGTTTGGCAGGAATTGTACATTTACAACAACATTTTACTTAAAAACACATACACCCTTAAATACTACACATATAAACTTTTAGCTATGGATTTCCTAATCAATGAAAATCTATTAAGCAATAAATGGATCAATATTTCTAAACATCCTAAATAATTTTTTTAAATAAAAAAATTAACTGTTTAATAATATAAAAATTAAAAAAAAAAAGAATGCAGATAATTTTTTTTGTTCAAATTGAATTTATTACCTATGTCTTGTAATGTTAGAAAATTTAATTGTCAGTTTCCAATCATTTCAGTTCTAGATAATGCTGTTCTTATCCACAATGCAATATAAACTAATTACTAATTACATCTTTTACTGTAATGCGATGGATATAGTTTTTAAGGGATCACTTTATTTAAAACAGGAAATTGCAACTTTTAATTCAATTACAATTTCTATTTTGAATAATATAATTGGAAATTTAAAAGAGCCATTCTATTTTAAAAAGCCATTCTAATTTAAAAGAGATAATGATAAAGATACAAGAAGAATAACTCTTGGTTTCTTGTTATTAATGCGACCAGTCATTTTAGTATATACAGACTTGAGAATTGATTGACATTTGCAACATAATACAGTTGTGGTGTAGTAGTAAAACGCTTGCTTTATAAGCAGGAAGTTTGTATTTAATCTCCACTATATCTCTGGTAGTACCATGATTAAATTGTTTCTCTGAGCAGCAACCTTTGTAGTTAATGTTTGCGTTTTGAAGATAAAGAATCACAATAAATCAGCCTTCTTAACTATAGCAGCCTTTCAGTCTTGGGGTATTAAATAAAGTTTTAAAGATATAAATGTAAAACAATTAGTTTGCTCGATCATATCTTTCTTTTTCTCTACCGCCTTATGAATCTCTTTTTGTTTTTCTGTTTCACAAAAATGCACATTTAAAAGCACATCTTGAGCCTCCATTAATCACATTGGTAAACCCTTATTGATTTCCTTTAATTAGCTTCTATGATTTTAACTAAGTTAACAATATTTTGTTTTTGCCATTCTGGATTGCACTCTTAGAGTTGTTGTTAGGGGGTCCTTTTTTTGAGCTTACACTTATTGTTTTTTTAGAAGTAGCAGATAGAATATTATAGTAATGGTATAAAAACATAAGAAGGTTTAGCATCATCAGTTTTATTCATATGGAGAGCTACATGTTGAAACCTATCCTGTAGTATATTATCAATATTAAGACAATACTAACTTATAACAACTCTTTTAGGAGCTGCTATGATATGTTTAACTGATGTTCTATTTTCCAAATTGCTCCTATTATAAATCTTTTTCAATTTGTTGTTTGGTACGAGGAAAAGTGTACGTTTTGTGTGTTATTGATGATAAGGCTGTTGATTTGGTGCTTGTTTGAGTAATTGTATGATTCCAGTGACTTCATCAGGTTGAGACAAATCAACTGATTTTCTTTTCACAAAAATTTTTATTTTTTAAGTGAAACTGTGACTGATGACCATCTAATAAAAACTTAACTGGACACTATATACGTTGCTCAGTGAGATGTTTATTAAACTTCTAATATGCAGCCAATAATATACAGTATTTCAGTTTTTAATAAACATTTTGATTCTAGTGACAGCTTTTTGTATTGCCATCTGACTACTTATGTCTTTTCTAGTCAAAATTACCAGACACAAACAAAACTCTTGATAAAATAAAATTTTACTTATTGTTAAAAAGTATTAATCACATTTAATCAAAATTCATTTTTTAACATATAACTCTCAAAGTGGCAGTAAGCATTGATTCACCATTGATTCAAGCAAATGTGTTTATAGTAATATTCTTTTTTTCTTGCAAACAATTTTTTTACATGATTTTTGTCAGCATAGACCAACCCAGTACTATTTACAACTAAGTTGTAATTAAAAAATTGTGGTGATTTGTTTTAAATAAAAAAAATTTCTGTTGAAATTTTACTGACTTATGTTTCATTTTTTTTTATATATCTGTTCCTTATATTTATTATTAGCTAAAACCTATAATATTAAATCTTAAATTATTGTATAAAATAGAATATTTATAAATGAAAACCTTTTTATCCCATTATGGAGTTCTGAAGTAGAATTTGAAAGTATTAATTAAATCTTAAAAATAAACTTTTAAAGTTGAAGTATACAATTATATTTATAATTACTTTTATTATATTAGGCTTTTTTTATTTATTTTCTCATTAATTTTTTTAGTAATAAATATTATAAAATATTGTATTAATTTAGTCTAAATTACTTAAACTAACTTTAAATAGTGTGTTTTTGTTACAAAACAGCCTATAGTGTTTAACCTCTTGGTGCACAAATGAAAAACAGCTTTAAAATACGTACCACTCTTTATATTTGACGTCTCTTTATAATTTAAAGTTTTGTATAGCAAGTACAAGCGCATACAATATTACACTTAGACAAATAACTGTAAATAAAGGCAAAATTTACTTTTTTCAGGGATGTTACATTTAGAAAAGCTTTAGTCTTTATCATTACTACAATATTTTTTGAAAGTATCATTTAAATACTACTTATATGTGAATACCACAGTAAATTTTCATCCAGTTTTACACCTAAAAAGTTTATGTATGTTTCCCTTTTAAAATGGGGATTATCAATTATAAGATTTGGTAGTTAAGGAGGAACTTTTTCTGATTTATTTATTTTATGGAAAGTATATATTTAGCTTTATCTACATTTAGTGAAAGTTTGTTACTTTCAAACCATTTACTATATTAAAAAGTATTTTAATCTCTGGAGAACAAAATAGATTGGAATAATCAGCAAACAAATATTGGTCTAAAAGATTTCTTACTAAGTATAAGTCGTTTATATATAATAGAAATAAGAGCGGTATACATCTATATATATTATCACTATAATGAATATTGTTTATTTCAATACATATCGCCACCGTGTGCAGTGATTATTTTACAGGATAAATAAATTTAAATAAATGGATAATCAGTAAAATAGGTAGTACTTATCCCTTTAATTTAATTAATAATTTTAAAAGTTTTCATATTTCTACATTCCATTATGTTTTTGTAAAAGCAAAGTGCTAATTGTATCAGCAATTCCAGACTTAAATGAATGCGTTTGATAATTATGTTTTTTCTAACGTCAATTAACTCCTCAAGGAATGCAAGCATTATAATTTTTCTCACAGTTAGCTCATATAGGTCATAAAAGAGTTTTATTGAGAATTCAATTTAGCGTTGAGCATTCGTATTACTAAATCTTTTTTTTATATCTATTATTTGTGTTATTAGGTTATCGTGTATAAATATTAGAATGTCCCGAAAAACAACATTTTTTAAAAAATGACCGCTCCTTCCCTCAAAATGAGTTATATATAATAAAATAATACTGGAATTTAAAAAGCTTTGAAAAAAAAATTCTTTAAGAGGTCCCTCAAGTTTTAAACATCAGGCGGGTCCTTGATATTGTCAAAAAAAAATGTTCTTTAAAAGTATATTACGTTGGGAATTAAAAGAAAAACATTCGCCAAAGGTCAAGCCCTTTCATTTCCTATATTTTTCAAATAAACTATAAAATTTGAATTGAAAAAAAATTATTTTAAAAAAATTTGTCTTCCACCGCCAACGCTTTCCCCGCCTCCCGCTCTATATAACATATAGCAAATGAAATGAATCATAATTCATAATAATTAAATATTAAACACAAGTATACGCAGATATAAGTCTTACTGATTTTATATAGTCACATAAAACAATCTTGAATTATCATTTTTTATTCATTAAATACGTTGTTCACAAATACTTTAGACCCTCTTGCGGTTTGTTCAAGTTTTCTACGTTTCATATTGCAAAAGTCTTTTTTTACTGGCAATCATTGAATGTGTTCATTCATCAGTCTGCAGTAAATGTCATGTGTATTTGTTTGCAAAGACATATGTATTGCTTTACAACTTTTTCCTGATATATTAAACCGTATTTGATTGATTAAGTTGTTATGTATTTTTTCCAACTTTCACCTGACTTCTTAGTATACTTGGCAATAGATGATCCACCTGTGATCATAAGGAGTTCCCAGGCATGTGCGTACACTTAATGCTAGCTTGGGCTAGGCATAGCCTATGGAAACGTCTATTTATGGAATATCATCAATCCATAACCAACTTCTTAAAATTTTTTACAAACATCAACATGCTGATTAATGCTAAGGAGTGAGGAACAATTGCAGTAATGATAAAAAGCTCTAGAATCACCCAACAATAAATCTACCATTTTGCTATCAACCATACTTATCTCCGTTTTTATAAATATTTTTAAACCATTTTCTGAAAGGATTGGCTGATTTTCATTTTTAGGCAGTTGACTTAGAACTGATTTGAAATATTCCTTTACATTTTCTCTAGTTTCTTTTGCTTTCACTAGAGTAAAAGGCCTGGCAAAATTTTCGGAGTTAGGGTTCGGATTAGTCCAAATTACTTGGTTTCTTGAATCTTTAATATGAACGAGAAACCAAATAGAACAAATTTATTTTGTTACACTTTAGTCCGCATCTTGAGGAACAGAAAACTGATGACGATTGTTGTCATTTCAAGAACCATTAAGTCCAAATTTACCCTCTACATATATAGAATGATTTTCAGCACAACACCTGGATATCAAGTAGAAACTCAATAATGTCCTTGATTACAGTGTTCACAGGGGATAAAGTTTAATTGTCATCATTGTTCAATTCCTTAAGTAGCAAAGTGTGTTTAAAGGTATCTAGATCGTTCTTTGCTGGCAACTTTAATTTTGGGAAAAACTCAAGATTCAGCTCCTGCGGAAATATAAAATTTAAATGTAGAACTATAAAAAAATCATATGCAATAGTTTTTGATTGCATATTTTACCTGATAATTATTTATAGATAGATCAAAGTTGTACATTTAAGCAGTTTTAAGAATTACCACTTTTTTCTTCCCGCATCTTTTATCACATCTTTGAACAACTTCTTTTAAATAATCTGACTTATCTAGTCCCTGTTCAATTTATGTTTTTCCACAATGTCCACAAAATCATCCAGAATTTTGTTGTGGGTATATTTTTCAGGTGAATTAAATGAAAATGTATTACGAATAGTAAAAAAATAGCTACATGGTGTCCCTAATAACATGATGCTAAATAAATTTGAGTAAATGTCAATAACTAAAATTTTACCCTAGACTTTTTGATATCCGCTCTCTTTTAGCTTGCGAATCTCCCTCTTCTTCTATATCGCACCTTGATAATGATGATGCTGCTGCTGGAGGAAGATATCAGGGCAGTTTTATCCCAACTTCGTTTCTCCAAGTTTCCGATTAAGCTACAAGTTTAATTTGTTTCAACTTTAAATAATTTTTTGCATGCCTTTCAATTTGCTTTAAAATTTTTTTGATGTTTTCTTTTTTATCTATTAAAGTTAAATTATATCTCACTTTAATTGTTTTTAAAAATAGCTTTGATTTTTTTTATGAACTTAATTTGATGTTCAAAGTTGTTAAAGTTTCTTTTAATTCTTCTTTTTTTATCAAGAACATTTTGTCGCATGTTATTAATATTTATTTCTGAATCGTCTGTGAAAGTTGACCTTTATAATTAGGCAATATTATATTAGGCAATATTATATTCGAATTGATATTCGAAGTTGCCTAATATAATATATATATATATTATATTAGATAACTTCGAATATCAATACGTACAAACAATTAAAATTCAAATTTAAATTACTCAATTTACAAGGATAATCAAACTGTGGAATTTTTACAAAAAAAAATAGGAAATGTTTATAGTCAATAAAATATTTGAGTTTATTTGCAGCCTCCAGAGGCCTTTTTTTTGAAATATTTAAAGTGAAAAAAAGTAAAACTAGATAAATTAATTTTTTAATGGGCCAGCGC